CGTCCTTCCAGAGGGGTAGCCCCACTGTGAAAACAGTCCTCATCCCTGTATAGAAAAGAAAAAACAGACCACCACAGCGCACAACAAGTCCCAGCTTCCAATGTCCAGTAGATAGCCTGGCAACAGCAGAGTGTCCCAGAGGGCAGGGGATGGGGTAACCAATGTGAACTCCAAGGGGCCTTCAGCTTTCTAATAAGATCTGGGCCGATGCAACAAAGACTCAAAAACAGAAAAGACAGAAAGGACAGGAGTGCGGGAAAACAAATAATATTCCCAGTAACATTTCATTAAAATAGATAAAAAACATCCAGTACTGACATGGAGGTAACTGAAGGTCAGCATGAGGTGTACAGACCAGGATGTCACAAGGCTGCAATACAGGGGTGGCAGCTCCTGATCTCCATGTCGGCTCAGAGGGACCCACTCAGGGCACAGTGGGATGTAGTGCTGGGACAAGGTCATCCAGGGCAAAGATGCTAAACTGCACCCCCCCCCCCCCCCCCCCCACTGTTTATGATGTGCAAACTTAGGGGATTCTACTCTCAGCAGTCACTCGCTTGTCTTTGCCGCTTTCATTACTCCTGTCAGCCTTGGAACAGAAGGAAAGCACCCCATCCCTACAGTAAACCTGTGTGCCCAGGGCAGCCGCCCCTCCCACCCCCCCCCCCCCCCCCCGTCCCAGTAATGGCTAGAAGTGCAGCATCCGCTGACAGTATACTACCTTGTAACAGAAGGAAAGCACCGCCATCCCTACAGCAAACCAGTGTGCACAGGGCAGCCGCCCCTCCTGCCCACCCCCTGTCCCAGTCCTGGCTAGACGTCTGCCAGATGCAGTGTCCACCACCAGTGTACCGCCTTGTGGCAAGACTCAACGTTAATCAGTAATGCATTTTGAAGCACATTACCGCCCCTTCTAATTGACGTAGAGCCTTGCCACAAGGCAGTAGAGTGGCAGAGGACACTGCACCTGGCAGACATCTAGTCAAGGTTGGGACAAGGTGTGGGCGGGAGGGGCAGCTGCCCCGGGCACAGTGTTTTACTGTAGAGATGGTGGTGCCTTCCTTCTGTTACGAGGCAGTGCAGTGGTAGTGGACGCTGTACTTGGCAGACATCTAGCCAGGGCTGGGAGGCAAGGGAATCTTCCGTGGGCGCAGTGGTTTATTGTAGGGATGGCAGTGCCTTCCTTCTGTTACAAGGCAGTAGAGTGGCGGTGGATGCTGCACTTGGCAGACATCTAGCCAGGGATGGGACAAGGGGTGGGCAGGAGGGGCAGCTGCCCTGGGTGCAATGGTTTACTATAGGGATGGAGGTGTCTTCCTTCTGTTACAAGGCACTACAGTGGCGGTGCTCATGCTGACCTACAATTACCTCCATGTCAGTACTGGATGCTTTTTGTCTATTTTAATAAAATGTTACTGTGAATGTTAGTTGGGTTCCCGCACTCCTGTCTATTGTCTGTCTATTCTGTCTATTCTGTCTTTCAGCCCTGTGTAGGGTTCCTGGCACTGACAATTGTCATGTAATTGTGACCCAAAGCCAAGCCTGGAACACGCCGATCAATACACCAATATCTTCGCTAAATAATTGTCTGTTTAAATAACAATCATTCCCTGGATCTGAATGTAGCAGCTTGCTGTAATCAGAACCGGTGCTAGACTATTATGAGCCCTGGGCAAAGCAGCTACTTTCACCCCCCCCAAAAAAAAATAAAATAAAACTTCATTTGTAGTTCTACTTCAGCCCTCCTAGCATATATCCTCTTTCCCCTCAAATTTTCCACTCTAGCAACCATCCATTCCCCCCCCCCCACAGTATAAATCCCACCTCCTAGCAAACTCCCTCCAAATTACCCTCCCCAGCACAAATCCTTCCTCTCCACCCAAATCCCCCCTCCTAACACACAATTCACTCCAAATCCTCCACCCCCTCTCCGAGCACAAATTCCCCAAATCCCCTCTCCGAGCACAAATCCCCCCCAATCCCCCTCCCCTAGCACAAATCCCCCCCCCCTCTCCGAGCACAAATCCCCCCCAATCCCCCTCCCCTAGCACAAATCCCCCCCCCCTCTCCGAGCACAAATCCCCCCCAATCCCCCTCCCCTAGCACAAATCCCCCCCAATCCCCCTCTCCGAGCACAAATCCCCCCAATCTCCTCTCCTAGCACAAATCCCCCCCAATCCCCCTCCCCTAGCACAAATCCCCCCCAACCCCCCTCCCCTAGCACAAATCCCCCCAATCCCCCTCCCCCAGCACAAATCCCCCCCAATCCCCCTCCCCTAGCACAAATCCCTGTCACATAATCGCAGGCCGCTGGCCCAATCAGCTGAGGCTAGTAAATTTTCTGCTCCGCAACAAAGGGGCGGGGATGTTGGTGACATCAGTGACCTAATATGACCATATTAGGTCAATATTGAGACCAGAATCCCCGCCCCTTTGTTGTGACAGTTGCAGGGCGGAAAGTTTTCTGGTTGCAGCTGATTAGACGAACAGTCCGCCATCATGTGACAGATCACCGAATGATCATCTTGAACCTCAGCTCATCACTAACGGCCACGGTTGATTTTTGTTTTCTTTTTCCTTAAAGGCGCAGTCCACCTTTTACCAAAAATCTGCCTATGAAGGCAAGGGGAGCCGGCTGATAGACAAACGGAGAATAAAGTTGAATATTGCCCTTGCTGTAGGTGTAGGCCATTCATGTGTCCTCTAGAAGACTAACTGAACCAGGGGAGGACTGACAACTCATGGGGCCCCCGGGCAATAGGGGATCATGGGCCCCTGTGTCCTTGGCCACACTCAAAAAAGCCTATGAAAAAGGTACCAGGGGCATCTCATGGGGCCCCCTACTGACCCCCGGCCCTCGGGCAGTGCCCGAGTTTCCAAATGGTCAGTCCGCCCCCTGGACTGAACAACTCCCAGAGCTATCATCATCCTGTCCTGCCTTGTTGCTAGGAGGTTGCTAAGACGCTCCCAGCTCTTACTGTTCACCGCCACCCATCCTAGGAGCGAGGTCTCAAATGCTGAGACCTCTCAGAGGAGAGAAAGATACCAACTCACTCCTCTGATTGTGAAGGTGAACAATAACGGCTGGGAGGCTCTTAGCAATGCCTGAGCAACAAGTCCTGACAAGGAGGGGGTGTGGGGGGGGGGGGGGGATATCTCTGAGAGTTTTTCAGTCAGCCTTCAGGAGGCGCATAAATGGCTGACGCCTATAACAAGGGCAACGCTCAACTTCACTCAAAGCTGCACAGTTTGTTTTTATCGGCATAGGCAGGTGTATGGTAAGGCTCCATGCATACTAGTATCTTCTATGCTAAAAAATGCAGCAAAAACAGCTGCTAATAGCATTTTTTAGTAGAAGTGTTTAGGAGGATTAGCGCTTTATTAGCATTTTTACATATATAAAAAAAAAAAAACACTAGGAGCGTTATAGTAGCATTTAGAAGCGTTAAAATTTTATTCGCGTTTTTACAGAACATATAGAAAAAAAAGCTAGAAAACAGATGCTAGGAGCGTTTTAGTAGCAATTAGAAGCGTTTATTACCATTTTTACAGTACATATAGAAAGCAAAGCTAGGAAAAAAAAAAACACTAGGAGCGTTTTAGTAGTATTTAGAAGAATTAGCATTTTATTAGCGTGTTTACAGTACATATAGAAAAAAAAGCCACTAGGAGCATTTTAGTTGCATTTAAGAGCATTTAGAAGCGTTTAGAAGCATTAACATTTTCTTAGCATTTTTACAGTACATATAGAAAAAAAGCTAGAAAAAAACCCCACTAGGAGTGTTTTAGTATCATTTAGAAGCATTATTATTTTATTAGCATTTTTATAGTACATATAGAAAAAAAGCTAGAAAAATTCTGTTAAGAGAGTTTTAGAAGTGTTTAGAAGCATTAGCATTTTATTAGTGTTTTTACAGTACATATAGAAATAAAAAGCTAGAAAAAAGCCCTCTAGGAGCATTTAGCAGCATTTGGAAGCATTTAGGAGTATTAGCATTTTCTTAGCATTTTTACAGTACGTGTAGAAAAAAAAAAAACTAGAAAAAACCCCCCACTTGGAGCATTTTTGTAGCATTTAGAAGCATTTGGAAGTGTTTAGAATCATTAGCATTTTCTTAGTGTTTTTACAGTACATATACAAAAAAAAGCTAGAAAAACCCCACTAGGAGCGTTTTAGTAGCGTTTAGGAGCGTTAGCGGTTTATTAGCATTTTTACAGTAAAGGTAGAAAACAATCTGCTAGGAGCGTTAAAAGCATTTAGGAGCATTAGCAGAGCCATCCACAACTCCGCCCCGGCTACTTCACCAACCTGGTCTCAAAATATCACCCAAACACACTCTCTTCTACCCTCCCAACACCTCCTGCTCTCTAGTTCCCGTGTCTCCTCCTCCCATGCTCAGCTCCAGCAAAGAACAGAGAACAAAAAACAAACAAAACAAAAACCAAAAAAATCCCAAACACCCCCCCCCCCCCCAAAATAAAATAAACAAAAAGATGGGCAGACTGGATGGACCATTTAGTCTTTTTCTGCCGTCACTTTTCTGTTTCTATGTCTAATGCTCCTAAACGCTCCTGTAAAACACTATTACCAGCATTTTTTTATCCAGCGTTTTTTAAGCTGTGTACATGGAGCCTTAGGAGCGTTCAGCATTTTTTTTCTACTGGAAAAACACTCCAAAAAACTCTACAGAAACCATTTTTTGCTGCTTCTAGAAGCTGAAACTCAAAAAAAACGCGACTAGACTAAAGCAGTGCGCACGGACACATAGGGGAACACTATTTAGCTTCCAGGAGCAGAAAATAAATGCTGAGAACAGCTTTTTTGGAGCTTAAAAATCACATGTGTGTGCATGGAGCCTAAAGGTGAACTGAGCCTTTTTTAATTTTGTTACAAATTTTGCAGAAATTGGAGTTGAGCTTTGAGCGCAGACAAGAAAAGTCAGGTGACCAGGATGTGTCGCCAATAATGACACTCACTCCGACATTCAGCTAACCTTACCTTCTCTGAATCTAGATGGATCTCCTCTGCCTGAAATGAAAATGAAAATAGGTGAGTTGTATGACGCATTGTTCATGAATTGTACATACATGTATACGGTATATAGTATGTGTACTTTGTGGGGGGGGGGTGGGGGGGGGGGTTGTATACAATTTTACATACGTTTGCTTTTCTTAATGTACTTCCTTAATTTCTTCAGGTTCTTTTGCACATTGTTATTCTCCATTTTCTTCAAAGGATTTTCAGTTTGATTTTTGTCCCTCTGGGTGAAGAGGAATACTCCCGAAGCATATGTACGCAGGTCATCCTGTTCATCTAAGATTCTCTGCTTTTCACTGTCCTCACTGTTCTCCAGATCATCAATCACCACAACATTCTTCCCTCCTTAAAGGAAAAATACAAATTCAATAATCCAGCTGTACACGGGGTGAATTCTGAGTGGTGGGCGGTCCCCCGTTCGATTCAGCTGTTTAAAGTTGTGTTAAACCAATTAATCCCGTGTATTAAAGCATCGCAAACCAACCGCTTGGTGCTCACCATTGGAAGCACGAACCCAACCGCTTGGTGCTCACCATTGGAAGCATGATGAACAAACCGCTTGGTGCTCACCATTGGAAGCATGGCGAACCAACCACTTGGTGCTCACCATTGGAAGCACGATGAACCAACCGCTTGGTACTCGCCATTGGAAGCACGCCCGAAACAACCGCTTGGTGCTCGCCATTGGAAGCACGGCAAACCAACCGCTTGCTGCTCACTTTTGGAAGCATGGCGAAACCAACCGCTTGGTGCTCCCATTGGAAGCACGGCGAACCAACCGCTTGTAGCTTGCTGTTTGAAGCATGGTGAAACAGCCACTTGGTGCTCACCATTGGAAGCATGGTGAACAAACCACTTGGTGCTCACCATTGGAAGCATGGTGAACAAGCCACTTGGTGCTCACCAATAAAAGCATGGTGAATTTTGCATTGGCTTTGTGAAATTATTGATTGTGTACTAGAGAAACTTCCCTTTTGTGGCTTTAATCTCTCTGAGGTGAGGCTTATATAAGGCTTATTCATACTGCTAATATACACTTTATTATGTCCACCTTGCTAGTGCCAGGCAAATCCCCCCCCCCCCCCCCACCATGAAACCAGCACCACCAGCCTGAACCGTTGATACAAGGCAGAATAGATCCACTACACCATGACACCACCACCACCAGCCTGAACCATTGATACAAGGCAGGATGGATCCACCACACCATGACACCACCACCACCAGCCTGAACCAGTGATACAAGGCAGGATGCCACCAGCCTGAACCATTGATACAAGGCAGGATGGATCCCCACACATGATGACACCACCACCAGCCTGAACCACACCATGGCAGGATGGATCCCCACACCATGATACCACCACCACCAGCCTGAACCATTGATACAAGGCAGGATGGATCCACCACACCATGGACACCACCACCACCACCACCTGAACCATTGATACAAGGCAGGATGGATCCACCACACCATGACACCACCACCACCCAGCCTGAACCACTGATACAAGGCAGGATGGATAACCCCCCACCATGACACCACCACCAGACTGAACCATTGATACAAGGCAGGATGGATCCATGTTTTCATGTTGTTTACGCCAAATTCTGCCCTTGCTATTTGAATGTTGCAGCTGAAATTGAGACTCATGAGACCAGGCAACATTTTTCCAATCTTCTATTATCAAATTTTGGTGAGCCTCTGCAAATTGTAGCCTTCGTTTCCTGTTCTTAGCTAACAGGAGTGGCACCCGGTGTGGTCTTCTGCTGCTGTAGCCCATCTGCTTCAAGGTTGGACGTGTTGTGTGTTCAGAGAGGGTATTCTGCATACCTTGGGTGTAACAAGGGGTTATTGGAGTTACTGTTGCTTTTCAATCATCTGGAACCAGTCTGCCCATTCTTCTCTGTCCTCTGACCTCAAAAAGGCATTTTCCTCCACACAACTGCCGCACACTGGATGTTTTCTCTCTTTTGGACCATTCTCGGTAAACCCTAGAGATGGCTGTGAGTGAAAATCCCAGTAGATCAGCAGTTTATGAAATACTCAGACCAGCCTGTCTGGCACCAACAACCACACCACAGTCAAAGTTACTGAAATCCCCTTCTTCCCCCTTTCTGATGCTCGGTTTGAACTTCAGCAAGTTGTCTTCACCCCGTCTAGATGCCTAATGCATTGAGTTGCTGCCATGTGATTGGCTGATTAGCAATTCGTGTTACCAATCAATTGAACAGGTGGACCTAATAAAGTGGCCGGTGAGTGTACATATATCCAATATATCTACAAACTCCTCCCCCCCTTCTTTTTTTTTTCTGGTCTGTGACAAAGTACTATATCATGAAAAACACGTCGTCATGGTAACCAGGACTTGTTGCGATTGGTCTCCTTCCTACTGAGGATTTCTGATGGTTCTTCCTGGCTTCCGGTGTGCCGTGACATCACTTGCGGTGCGCAATCTCCGGCAACCGAGGAGGTCCATCCTGCTCCTCTCATCCCCCCTGTGGGGTCTCTCTCAGACCGCTGGCCTTGGTCACCTGCATACCATCAATTGTGGCTCCTTCACCTTCCATCTATTGAGCTCACCATCCAGGCTCTCCATTGTCATGCCTACAACACAGTAAGCCGCTCCCATCATTCCTTCAGTCTATGGTTTGCACTGATCCCTGTATGACCTCCATTCCTGGATACATCCTTACGGTGATTCTTGCTTTTATTGCTCCATTAAACTGTTCTATATTGTCTGCTGGTTATGGACATTACTGTTTTTTATTCTGGACATTCGCCATGAGCGCTCTGATTTTTTAAACTCTTAAGAGTAGCCATCCCCCCTTTTCCAAGGGACCAAAAGTAAATGGACAATTGAATCAAACACTGTTTCATGGCCAGGTGTGGGGCTACTCTTTTGTTATTTCTTCATAGATTCAAGCACTAACTGCAGCACCCTCTCTGGAATGAAAGTCAAGCCCAGTGTCTTCCATGGGCTTACACCCTCCAGCAGCGCTCAGCCTCCTAGGTTACCATGGAGCTCAAACAGTACTTCACCAGGTCCCCATCTCTGCCACATATGCCCCTTCTTCTGAGGGGCAGCGCTGCTCCCCTGAAACTTGCCGCCTAAGGCAAATGCCTTGTTTGCCTCTGTGGTAAATACGCCGCTGACTCATCTCATACCTTTTTTTGATTTTTAATTAATGATGTCTAGAGGAAACTGGGGGACTTCAGCTGTCCTGGAGAGGAATTGTGAGAATAGACCTGTGCTTAAGATCCAAGTGACTGCTGTTCGAAGGGTAAGTGCCAGCAATAGCTCTTTATGAGACAACCCTTACAGGTCTCAGTTCTGGCCATTCCTTTTAACCCCTGGCCTACAAGACTGTTCAGAGCAGCCTAGCCTAGACAGAAGTGTCCTCCTGTTACTATTCAATGTGCCTTGAGAATCCCATGCCACCCTAATTCCACTCTCTTCTCAAGTTCTTCAAGAAATATACTTTAAAAAGACAACCCCTAGACTATCATTGGAGACAGAATTGAAGGACTGTTGCCTGTGTGACTTGGTGGTCTTGCACTGCTTGGGGGAAGGAACCAGTTACCATCTGCAGCCCCTGCGGGGGTAGCACAACAATACATGTAAGAAGAAAAACATCTATTACTTACTAAACCTTCTATGAAGAAATTTCAGCTCGTCGTCATAGAGGGAGCCGGTCACGTTGGTGATATTTATCCTCCCACGCTTCTTAGTATGATACAAGATGGCGAAGTCATACCCGGAGACCTCTTGATGAAACTGAGACGCAGTATTGTTTATGAACACAGGCCGGGCCTTGATCTTTGTTCTCCGACACATTCTCTGCTCTAGAAAATCTATCAGCCATTCATAATTCTGTTCACTGTCTCTGGAACAGATTGCCACCTTTATTGTCCCCATCTGGAATAACCAACAGACATAAGTCATGATCGGAGAACATGGTAAACGATGTTTATTTCATTGCTTGCATTTTATGGTTTATTCAACAATAATCCAGATCTCTGTTCATACTAGTGAAGTGATGTGCCTGATCTAAGAGGAAAAAAATCATACTCACCTAGATGGTTGCCCTGCCACCTGTATGACTGAGAACTGAGTGGTTAAACAACGTTGATCGCTCAGCTCTCGGTCTTTTAGCCTGCAGAGAGCCAATGACTGTCAGTCACCGACACTCTGCCCCTCCCCTCCAACGCTCTCTGGAGCACTGGGCTGTGTTGGGGTGGGAGTGGCTAGACTCTCAGTGGCTCACTGAGAGGCTGAGCGGGCTGTCAGCCCAGGCTTCTGGGCGGATCCCTTCCATATGGTCAGGATCTTTGCTGAGCCTTGACCGGCTCTGTGACATAAGCCAACAGAGGGGCTTAGCATGCTGTCAGCTGAAAATGGGTCACAGGAGTGCAGGACTGAACTGCACTTGTGTGACCCACAGGAGACGTATGGCCAAAAATGCCTTGGCCATGCTGCTCCTTTAAGCCCTTGCCCCCCAGAAGTTTCCACACCCCTTTCTTGACTGGGCCATTTTTTTGCGATACAGCACTGTATTACTTTAACTGACAATTGCACGGTCATGCAACGCTGCACCCATATGAAATTTACGTCCTTTTTTCTCACAAATTGAGCTTTCTTTCGGTGGTATTTGATCACTTCTGCATTTTTTAGTTTTTGCGCTATAAACAAAAAATGTTTTTGACTTTTTGCTATTAAACATGTCCAGCAAAAAAAAATTAAAAAAAAATCAAATTTCTTCATAAATTTAGGCCAAAATGTACTCTGCTTCGTGTCTTTGCTAAAAAAATTCCAATACGTGTAAATTTGCTTTCGTGAAGTCTTCTCTTGCCTGTTGACTTTGACAATGATACGCCCACCTCCTTTGCTTGTCTGGATGTTGTGAATGGGTTTTTCTTTTCCATAGAAGGATCCTGCGATCATCCACCACTGTTGTCTTCTGTGGACGTCCATGCCTTTTTATGTTGCTGAGCTCACCAGCACGTTATTATTTTCTCCGGGACTGTGACAGGCATTCTGACCCTGGGTGGCAGCTGTCTAACTGCCACTGACACCAATACAGTGATCAGTGCTAATAAAGAGTACTGATACTGTACTAATAGCACTGGGCAGGAAGGGGTTAACATCTTGGGCGATCAAAGGGTTAACTGTGTGTTGTGTGTGTTTTACTGAGTAAGCACGCCCCCTACCCGGAAATACAAAATCACATATATATACGCAGCCCTGCAGCTGGAGTTCTTCTACAGGGTGGTCGGGAAGTGGATAAAGCTGAACTCTGGGCACAAAAACATTATTTAAATATATTCCTCAATAGCCATAAAGGATAGAAATGTGCTTTGTGTGCACCAAATGCCTTTGCATAGCCAGATATTACCTTGTAAAAGTAGCAGTGACATGATCCTTATCATGGCCAGATCTAGGGGGGTGCTGGGGTGGGCTATGCCCCCCAAATTTCAGTTGTGCCCCCCCCAGGCTGGGAGCTCCCTCCTCCAATGTACTTTGTGCTGTGCCTGCTGAGCTTCCCCCCATCCCTGTACTCAAGGCCAGCCACATCTAAAGTAATAAGTCCAGACAGGAGCGGCAGAGAGGGGAGAGCGGGGAGGAGGTGCGGGATCTCTGATCTCCCCCTCCTGTCATAATAGTGATCCTCCGTACAGCAGGTTACATAGGATCTCTATTACATCCGATGGTACAAGGCTTCATTACCCCCCCCCCCACCCATCTCCTCCAGAGACAGGGGGTGACATGTGCTACCAGGGTGATTTGGGTATGCAGGGATTTGTACTGGGAACAGTATTTTGTAGGCGGTTGTGCTAAGAGGAATTTTTGGGGGGGGGGGGGGATTTGTACTAGAAGGGGGGGATTTGTACTAGGAGGAGTGATTTGTACTAGGAAGGAATTTGTACTGGGGGGGGGATTGGGGGGATTTGTACTTGGGGGGAATATTTGTGCTAGGAGGGGGGATTTGAGGAGAGGATTTACGCTAGGAGTGTGGATTTGGGGGAGAGGGCCTGTGCTAGAAATGGGGGAATTTGTACTAGGAGGGGAGATTTTAGGAGAGAATTTGTACTAGGAGGGGGGATTTGGGGAGAGGGTTTGTACTAGGAGGGGGAATTTGGGGGAGAGGGTTTGTACTAGGAGGGGGGATTTGGGGGAGAGAGTTTGTACTAGGAGGGGGGGATTTGGGGGAGAGGGCTTGTGCTAGAAATGGGGGAATTTGTACTAGGAGGGGTGATTTTAGGAGAGAATTTGTACTAGGAGGGGGGATTTGGGGGAGAGGGTTTGTACTAGGAGGGGGGATTTGGGGGAGATGGTTTGTACTAGGAGGGGGGGATTTGGGGGAGATGGTTTGTACTAGGAGGGGGGATTTGGGGGAGATGGTTTGTACTAGGAGGGGGGGGGATTTGGGGAGAGAGTTTTCACTAGGAGGGGGGATTTGGGGGAGAGAGAAGTTTCACTAGGAGGGGGGATTTGGAAGGAAAGAGGATGTGTGCTAGGAGGGACATGTAAGATTTGTTAGGGACTGGGGGATTTGAGCTGGAAGGTGGAATTGGGGGGCAAAGATTTGTGCTGGAAGGGGGGGTTTGGACTGTGAGGATGGGAAATTCTTTAATTTTTGTTTGAGTAGAATTTGGGCATGCAGAAGGGATTTATGCTTAGGGGGTGAGCGTGTTGATTAATGCTGTGTTTTTTAAATTTTTTTTTTTTGGGGGGGGGGGGGGGGGCAGAGTGTGTCACCTTCACCTTGAGTGCTGGATGACTTTGTCCCGGCACTGACCACACTGCACACAAGGCAATCAACAGATCCTTTCCTCCCCACATAACACATAGCTGAGATCAGATTCCTCACAGCATCGATCTTCACAGTGTGTAGCTGGCTGCAGTTCTGATCTGTGAAATTTCCTGATTGGATTGTCAGCTGCAGTAGCCGGCTACACACTGTGTGGAGGGACACTGATCTCAGCTATGTGCTGTGTGGGGAGGAGGAGATCTCTTACGTGCCCGGCCAACAGCGACTGTCACGTACCTGATGGGAGACTGAAATGACGAGGTCAGCCTCACTTGTGTCACTAGCCGTGACCCCGCGGAGTTGGAACAGAAGGAGTCTAGGACCCAGGGGAACAAGAGTGCCAGTAGTTGTTGTTTGCAGCTCTTGCAGATGATGACCTTGGAAGGCTGATGATCCTCTGATTCAGGCACAGTAGTAATAAGCAGAGCAGGTCTTGTAGATTATCAGGCGTGCACCAGAGCAAGGCAGGTAATGAGGACAAGAGGACAGGACCAGTGTCATGGAATAGCCGGGGTCATCAATAGTCGGGCAGCACGGTACAGAATCAGAAGGAAAAGCCAAGGTCAGGAGCAGAGCCGAAGTCAGGAACCAGTATCAGGAGAGCAATCAGAGTCAGGTGAGGAAATCTCTTTCTTTCCAGGTCACAGCTCATGCTTATTTCTTTTTCAGTGATATTTCTCACACGATTCTCCCATCCTTGATGAAAATGTTCGATCACTCAAATTTGATGGCCGCACACGAAAATCGACCGACGACGCCCACTAATGGTGGAAATCCAAACGATTATTCAAAGATGTGATTTTTCTTTTCCAAAAATACTTTTATTAGAAGAAAAGCAGGGTGTAACATAAAAAAAAAACGGATCACGGTCCGAACATAGACACCACATGTAGCATCCCCTGTTATGCAGACGGGCCGCGGGTTTAAACCAGAATACACATCGGGATGAAATATCTCCTTATTGCACATGTATATAGCAAACCAGTATATACCAAGACTATAATAGATGAATCAAAGTGGGGACTATATTGAGCTTAATGACCTATGTATTTGTGAGCCCTTAAGGGGGTGCGATGTGTTGGGTAGTGCTAGCACAGGATCATTTATATGATATGATATGTGCGTCCATTGCAGGGACATGTGAGCCATGTGACATCAGTCACGCCTATATGGGAGATTAAATGCAATATCTGTATAGAATATATGAACAATGAAGGCGTATAAAAGGTGTGAGAGAAAGAAAAGTCAGAAAGGAGAATAGTTAGAGAAGAAGATAAAGATGTAGAGTGAGGTAGTGGGGGGGAGAGGTGAGGGGTAAAAGAGACAAAAAAAAAAAATATAGGAGAGAGGGGAAGAGAATGGGTTAGGTAGTAACGGGGACATTAAAAGTGAATAGTTTTTGATAAAATAGTGCACATTATGTTTCAGTGCAAGCCAAAAATAGTCATATTAGGATTAAGATGCAATACATGCAAGATCAATCAAAGGGGCAACACGTGGGTCCAGAAAAAGATGTGATTTTTGAATGAAAAATCGTTTGGAATTCGACACGTGTATGGCCGGCCTTACATAAGGATTGTGGTCAAATGAATTTGCCAACATCCCAGAACTCTATTGATCCAGACTGTGTCTAGGCAATGAGGACAAAGATAAGGACTTTTTTGACAATATATCAATCCAATAGGCAATGGAGTTTGATGCACAAATAATTGGTTATTAATAAAACGTAATTAGCTATATATTTCTGGGAAATGAAGTCTGGGATCAAGGATGGCTGCTAAGTGAATGGACAGCTGGGAAAGGGAGAAGGAAAGCCATAAAGGGTAAAGGAGGGAGCTGACTGGAATGTAGAAGATTCTAGAAAATTTGATTTTGAAGGGCATTCATGTGTGGAAAGTTAGTACTGACACCATGATGGCCAAGCTTGCTGTCTGTGGTGAGTATGGTAACATTTTTCTCTGAGATGAACAGAAGGTTATGGCTTGGGCCTAAACATCTTCCAAGGGGAAGGATAGCAGCTTCTCAGCTTACCGGGTTAATGGAGGCCATAGCATTAGGAGAGGTGCCCTGCTTCATGATTGAGCTTGTTGGCATCTCCATGTAGCACACTCCTAGTCAGCTAGGGATAGAGGCTGAGCAGTAGCCTGGTGTGATAGTTAGCAGGGTCAAATTTTGGTCAGGGCTCAGAGGCTCTGCAGACCAGTCCCTTGATCTAGAGACTTGGAGTCTCTAGAGCTCAGTGGGTGGGGGTGAGGAGGAGCTGGCCTGCACTCTCAAGAGATCTTGGTCAATCCTCAGCAGGGAGGCTTGGCATGGGCCCAGGACGACAGTCCCTTAAAAGTGACTGGGCCTGCTCAGTAGCAGGAGAGCGTTTGGGTGGAAGATGGACTGAGCATGGGGAGTGTGGAGCCTGGGATGGGGTCCAGGAAGGGGCCTACCTACAGGCTGTGGAGCTGGATGGGAGGAAAAACTCAGGATCTCATCGGCCTCCAGAGCAAAGACAATTTGTGTAGCCCAGCGAAAAGCCTGGTAACAGCCACAAGCCCAACAGCTCATAGGTTGAGGACTGAGTGAGTAGACCCACACCCCCTGGCCCAGTAAAGGGAGAAAAGCACTTTGGTTGGAAACTGGATTAGCTTCTTACCCAGGACTGTTTCCTCTTAAACAGAGAGGCACTGCATCCCCTGCACAGTGATTCCTTCAGACAGCTCGATAGAGGAGTATCTGGTGTCTGGACTGGTACACCAGGAGAGTCTGGCTAGCTCTCCAAGGATTTTTGTGCAAAGAGACTTGTAAATAATTCCAGGAAGTTGTCCTCATTTACTAAATCCTTGGGCATCCCATACATGCCTCCACCCATCCAAGTTCAAGCCCATTAAAATCTAAAAACCCAAGCTCAAGGACTGGTTACTGTCTCCAGGATGCAAGTCTGTATGGAAATGCGTGTTGCCTGGCTGTGCAGGAATATAGGGGAACTCAAAACTTCAGCTACATCCATACAGGAGAAGAAGTGGCACATCAGGTGTGGAGTGGCTGAAGGGTCTTGTAGGGTTCTGTAAGTCTATACTGGTGGTTGTAGTAAAAGAATGGGAGAACCAGGCAGAAGAATCACAGGAGGAATACTAACTGGACAAAAAGAGTATCTAGGGAAGCTTTGAAGTGCTGGAAAGTGGGAGGGGGGGGGGGGGGGGGTAAAAAACAGGTTCCAAGAGTAAAGCTGACCCTACATTCATAGCAAAACAGTTGTCCTCACAAAATTCTTTAATGCCATCATTGAGTCAGCAATTTTTGTTCAAAGGCCCGTACAATTTCCTTCAGACCTTCTTTTTGAATGGAATCCCAGACCTGTTAAACCGGTTTCCTTACAATAAATACAAAATAAATACAAAGTGTACTATTTTTCATGAAGTCACATTCGTAGTTAGACATTTGCTTGTTCAAGAAAAACGTTCTACCATGTTCCTGTTGATTTTTTTATTTCTACCATCGAAAACGAACGTAGATTTAATCTCCCTAACCATGGGAAAATTGAACAAATCTTATAAAAACAAAACTTCTACTGGTGTTGGGCCAGTTTAGGGTCCGAAGCAATAGACCAAGTTGGAGTCAGGATTGCAGGCAGAGAAAGTGCAGTGGTGGGCAGTTCCAGGCTTGGAGAAGGGGAACTGGACTGGCCATGAAGGACTGCTGGAACAGTGCTGGGAAATGGGCCATAGTTAGGCCAAAGAGGGAGATTTAATGACTACTGTCTAGACTTGATAAGTTGTGGCTGTTCTGAATTTGGGGTGGAGCAGAAGTCTTCTCTATATTTTTGATTCAGAAGATTGTATTGGCTAGACCAGGGTCTCTAAAATTTCTAACCAAAGGGCCAGTTTTCATGTCTTTTAGACTTTAGGGGGGCTGAACTATGGCCATTGGGAGTAGAAATGGTCCTGGAGTCTGTGGGAGTAAAACAATGCATCTTTGGTATTAGGGGGAGGAATAGTGCCCCTTTGTTGGTGTCAGTGAGAGGAATAGTGCCCCATTATTCGTGACAGATTGGAGAAATAGTGCCCCATCATTGATGTCAGTGGCCATAAGGCACACTGGGCATTTGCCTGGTGGGCCGGGGCCACCTGGAGAGGAGGGACGGCTGAGCGGCACATAGAGGAACCGTGCATTTCTTGGTTCCTCTATGTGCCACCTGGCTACCCCTCCTATCCATCTCCTGCATGCCCTGGACTCCTGTATGCTCCCCCCTCATCTCCTGCAGCACTGCAGAGCATCTGTCAGTATATTCTGTCTCCAGTGCTGACAATTTCCCTCCAACCACAGACAGGAGAGGAGAGAAAAAACTGGTTCTGCCCCTCCTCCTCCCACCCTCTCCTCCTGTGTCTACCCCGCCCACATTCCCCGCCAGCCTTGTGTATTCTCTCCCCCCTTTTTCTTTCTTTCCCTCATTATTATTATTATACAGGATTTATATAATGCCAACAGTTTGTGCATCGCTTTACACATAGATTATTTATTTCCCTCCTTCATTCTTTCCTTCTCTCTCTGTCTGTCTCCTTCTTTCTTTCTTTCTTTTTCTTTCTTTCTTTCTTTCTTTCTTTCTTTCTTTCTTTCTTTCTTTCTTTCTCTCTCTCTCTCCTTCTTTCCCTCCTTCCTTCTTTCCCTTCTTTCCTGCCTTCCTTCTTGCCCTCTTTCTTTCCTTCCTTTGTTCTTTCCCTGCTTCCTTCTTTTCTACCTTCCTTCTTTCTTTTTATCCTACAAAAAAATATATAAAATTGTAAAAAAAATAAAAACTTACTGACACTAGTGACAGAACTACCAGGGTCACAAAGGTTACTCTTGCAACTGGGCCCCGGCGTTCCACCACCATGGGATGAAGAATCCCATGGAGGTACCAATGGCTGTGATGGAGGAGGAGCCAGGGTTTGGTAGATGGTCACATGTGACGGACTTCTCAGTATCTACAATATGTCTTCATCATTCTCAATGCAGCTTCACTACTCAGCTTCTCTGACAATGAACAGCCATCATAGACCATTATGAGGGGCTCCCGCCATCCCTGTGCTGAGTTCTCAGGTCTGTACACCCGCTGTGCCCATTATGAGGGGTTCCCACCATCCCTGTGCTGAGCTCCCAGGTCTGTACACCCGCTGTGCCCATTATGAGGGGTTCCCACCATCCCTGTGCTGAGTTCCTGGGTCTGTACACCCACTGTGTGCCCATTATGAGGGGTTCCCAGGATTCTTATTACTACAGGTACTCTCACAGCACTGACATGTTACACACATATATACATCATATACAACAGAGCTTAGCGTTACACGGACATTATGGCATGACGCAGCATGACATACGTATGTCACATACCTCCTGTCTGCGCAGCTCCCATCTACAACATTCTCAGGTGAAGCCCTTTCATGGACCTGTGGCCTTCACTGTCTTCTTCTTGTTTCTCGGTGACAACTGGGTGGAGAACAATCTCTGACACTTTCACTTTCACATTGGCTTCATGTCAGATTGCTGCAACTCCTATCAGTGACATGAGAACTCTGCAGACAGAGCCTGTCCTGCCCACTGTGCTGGGGCCCCAACCTCAGAGCCAGTCTGGTGGGGGGGGGTGGGGGGGGGGGTCAATCAGCCAAATAAAAAGTAGAATCTTCATCAACAGTTTACAGGCAGGAAAACTGATACCAGAAGGGGGCGCTCCTCTACAAGGGAAGACGTCACCCCACCAATCATCCTGGACTTGTAACCTCTTCAGCTCCAGTCTCTGTATTCCTCTTATAGACCGAAGCTGTCCTATTGGCCTATCCCTCTAAGCCGGCCACACACTAGTAGAAATTTGTTCAAAAATGTTTCTTTTGTTCAATTTTTTCTCATATTAATGGGATCAAATGTATGATATATATAATAAAAAGGAAAGAATAAATCACGGCTGCGCAGATCAAAGTGCCTGCAGCAGGGATCAGTCCAGCAATCCCACAATCCCCATTAAGGCTCGGTTCACACCTCTGCAGTTTGTGTTTGATCCGTTTCTGCATTGCATTTTGCGTTGCGTTTTTGTTTTTTTTCTTTGTTGCTAGGCAGATTTAAAAAACAAAATGCATCAAAAAGATGGCAAAAACGCACTACATGCTTTTCTGAAGCGTTTCCATTGAAGTCTATAGAACCAAACACGCAACTTTTTGCGTTCAAAAAAGTCCCTAAGGCCAGGTTCATATATGTCACAATTTGCGCGGGCATGAGAGCCCAGTCATTTGAATGGACTCCCATCCACCGGGACACGCAGAGAAGTCCCTGCACTTCCTCAGAAAATCACAGCTCACATGGGAAGCGAGGTTCCCAGAACAGTTGCGATTTCCAGTGCGGGCGGTGTGCCATTAGAATTAATGGAAACCTCCCACGGGTCCCGCATTCCTCTGTGTGGGTGGTGCAGCTGCAGGTATCTGTACGGGTCCCGCATTCCTCTGTGTGGGTGGTGCAGCTGCAGATATCTGTGCGGGTCCCGCATTCCTCTGTGTGGGTGGTGCAGCTGCAGGTATCTGTGCGGGTCCCGCATTCCTCTGTGTGGTGGTGCAGCTGCAGGTATCTGTGCGGGTCCCGCATTCCTCTGTGTGGGTGGTGCAGCTGCAGGTATCTGTGCGGGTCCCCCATTCCACTGTGTGGGTGGTGCAGCTGCAGGTATCTGTACGGGTCCTGCATTCCTCTGTGTGGGTGGTGCAGCTGCAGGTATCTGTGCGGGTCCCGCATTCCTCTGTGTGGTGGTGCAGCTGCAGGTATCTGTGCGGGTCCCGCATTCCTCTGTGTGGTGGTGCAGCTGCAGGTATCTGTACGGGTCCCGCATTCCTCTGTGCGGGTGGTGCAGTTGCAGGTATCTGTGCAGGTCCCGCATTCCTCTGTGTGGGTGGTGCAGCTGCAGGTATCTGTGCGGGTCCCGCATTCCTCTGTGTGGTGGTGCAGCTGCAGGTATCTGTGCGGGTCCCGCATTCCTCTCTGTGTGGTGGTGCAGCTGCAGGTATCTGTGCGGGTCCCGCATTCCTCTGTGTGGTGGTGCAGTTGCAGGTATCTGTGCAGGTCCCGCATTCCTCTGTGTGGTGGTGCAGCTGCAGGTATCTGTACGGGTCCCCCATTCCTCTGTGTGGGTGGTGCAGCTGCAGGTATCTGTGCAGGTCCCGCATTCCTCTGTGTGGGTGGTGCAGCTGCAGGTATCTGTGCGGGTCCCGCATTCCTCTGTGTGGGTGGTGCAACTGCAGGTATCTGTGCGGGTCCCGCATTCCTCTGTGCGGGCCCCACAGCGGCACCACCCGCACAGATGTGAACCTAGCTTGATCCTGTTCAAAAATTGCACCGGGTGAAAACTCGGAGATGTGAATGTGTCCCATAGGAAATCATGTTCCATGGACTGTAGTGCATTTCTGTAAAATGCTGCGGAATACGCTCAGGTGTGAACCCGGGGTTAAAAAAGAAAGAAGACAAGGACACCGCACAAACTTCTTTAACCCCTTCCCGCTGGCGCATCCTGGCCTTTTAAGAATTTCAGAAGTTGGGAGGCGGGACAGGCGGGGTTTAGGGATCATGTGACCGCCGTGACACGTCATTATGGCGGTCACATGATCGGGAAAGGTCCTGATTGAAAGAGCAGACCGGGACCTTTCCGTGAGCACTGGACATGTGTGCTGGGAGGGTGCAGGGTGCATGCTCTTAGCACATATGTTTTTTGTTAATTGCACACAAATGTGCGGCAGCTCAGCATCCAGGCCCAGACACCGGGAGGCCGCCGTTGTGAAGAGGTTAATGAAAAGAAACAAATTTGTGACATTATATCATTGAATTGGTAACAGTTTCCAGCTGACAAATATCAGGCCAAGAAGAAACATACAAATACTTTGTATCAAATGTTTCTCAAATAATCTGCACAATCAGGTAATGCAGGCCATTCACGGGTCAAATTCTGAACATATTTTTATTAGAAAATCAGAAATTTCACGCATTTTGTAACCCGATGGCGCCACCATTGATTTGAAAATTCCACCAACCAAGCCTTTAATTTCACTTCATGTTGCCACAGAAAAGAATTTTCGTGGCCAAGAATTTTCTTTTCTTTCCAGGTCGCAGCTCACGCTCATTTCGATTACATTTCCCGCACAATTCTCCCATCGTTGATAAAAAGTGCGTTTCATCATTTTTTGTAAATTTCCAACAAGCCCGATCACTCAAATTTGATGGTCGCTCAAAAAATCAGCTATTGCTGTGGCTCACTCACTCTGTGGCTTGCATTCTAATGCAAAATTAGAATGGAAATTCATAGAAAATTTTTTCTATAGAAAATCCTTTTGGCATCCGACCCGCGTATGGCCGGCTTAAGTTTTTAAACTCATTGCCTACTGTATAGAGATCTAACTAGTCAGTCATATCTGACCCTTGGCGATTGCATGGATTGTCATATGTAAGTGACTTTTTCCATGAATCGTCTTAGCAATTATGTTTACAGGGTAGGTTGCCAGGTCTTTCCCCAACCCCCACCATGCAGGAGATCCCGCATGGCCAAGGATGTAACTAGGACAATTTAGACAGGAGCCAATTAACCTACCAGCATGTCTTTGGAGTGTGGGAGGAAACTGGAGCACCTGGAGGAAACACACGGAGAACATGCAAACTCCATGCAGGAGGCGCCATGGTTGGGAATTGAACCCATCACTCAATTATTGCAGAGCAGACATGCTAGCCACTGTGCCACCCAACTGTATAGAGATACTATGTAACAAACTAAACACAAGCTATAAGGATCAGGAGTGCAGAGTCCCCGGTGTAGGGCTGTTAAGTCATTATTACCCGAATAATAATAATAAAAATAATACTAATATAACAGAAATAAAACAACAAATTACCAACAATTCTCACAAAATCATCAAAATTAATAGAAATCATACAAAATATTTCAATTAACAGGATGGCTGTTTTGCTCTCAGTGGGGAGGAGACCTGAATGTTGTCTGGAAGTGGACTTTGAGCTGCTGGCCCGACCAGACCGAGTGGTACCTGTGGACACAATCATTTGCCAGCCACGTGCACCTTTGGAATTTCTGTGTAGACACACAGGCGGTCATGCTGTTGTAGCGGCAGCCATCAGTTTTGGTGAGTTTTGAACTCACGGAAGACGGTGACGGCATTTGTGAATGCCTTCTGCAAGCGAGAGCACTTTATGGTGGTGGATTGACATCATTAAGTTTTTTTTCACTGATATTTTGATTCTATGGACATTTATGATATTTCCTGTGCAAATCTAATCGCACTGCAGCAGCACCAAAAAGGACCCTTTTTTTGTTCCGCACTAGAATCACACCTATGCGATCCGATTCTGCACATCGCACTGCGGTTTGTGGACTGATTTTGGGGTGATGTTAACTTAACATACACACCCGCAGCGGTTCACATGAACGGGGTGCGATTCTGATGCGGTACGAAATTCGCACAGATACCGCATCAGTGTGAACCCGGGCTAAAGGTTGTTTGATAGAAGGGCTAGTTTGGGATGAAGTGGTTTTAGTGATGGCAACACCAAAGTAAACAAAAAGCAACAACGTGCAACATACACAGGCAATGAGATTGTGAGACATAAGCAATGAGATTGTGCAGATCCCATGGGCTGGCAGGTGCATGTTCTTTATTATACTTTAGAAAATTACATTAAGTTTATTACTATTATTTATTATTTTTATTAAAAAAAAAAACTAGATTTATTATAAATAAAATAGAAAATTAAATGAAGTGCAGTACAGTACAGTATATTCATTGAGATCCTCACACCACATCAGCCCATTGTCAATTTACATCTTTGCTGGGATCGTACCATGCTGGGAGTGCGTGTGATTATTATTATTATTATTCTTCATACACTTTACTCCTCTCCCTCACCAGGCTGGAGCTGACATCCTACAATTGCAGAGACTATTCTCTGCTAGCAGCCAATCTAAGATGCCCATAGTCATGTGATCACTGCGATCATCAACAAGGTGACCACAGTTATTGTTTGTCTCTAAAACAATAAAGAGTGATGAAATACTGAACCGTGAACCAGTCATACATTTGGTGAAAATCAGGAGAAATATTTTGGTGTCACGGTGTACAGCAGGATAGTAGGAAAGCTCTATAAAAATGTTAAAATGTATATTTTGCCTTTTCACAATATTACATTCTTGTTTCATTCATAATGTTAAATGAATTGTATTTATTGCACACGTTTAATAAATAGAACCTTTTAAAAAATGAATCCTCCTTTAGCCCTGATGAAGGGGCATGTTGAAGCCCTCCTGAAATGTGTTGGCTTTTATGATATGAGGATGTTATTATTCTATTTCAAAATATGTGAAAGTAAATCATTCTGGATTTACAATGAACAACATGGAGCTCCAATCTTCTATTCTGGGGAATTGCAAAAACAAAAAACAGAGTGCGCCACAACCTAGCGCATCACCTCATAGTGATTTTATTAATGATAAAAGGAGTAGATGTATACTCACAAACAGCACAAATGTAAACGCATATCAAACTCCATAAGGAGCGTGAGAACGTCTGGTCTCTTGGATGAATCCCAACTGCACAAAGACCTTCCAAAAATACTGACGTGTTTCGAGGGGTGATCCCCTCTTCATCAGAGCCAATGAATTAACCCAAAACACTTGCTTGTGGGAGTCCTATCTTCATGACTAAGCATGTTGGGGTGCAGCATGTTGAGGAGGAGCGGTCCCTGGTGGGGACATTCTATAGGTTGCTTGTGGCTGAATAAAGCTTTTGTGAGGAGGAGACATCATCAGTGGATTGTTTGTATCGCTCCTCTATAATCCTGCTACATTTCCAGACCCATTACAGCTTTCTGGCTGAATTGGTCCACAATTTGTGTATTTATTATTATTATTATTATTATTACTTCGAGTTTATATAGCGCCAAAGGGTTTGCTCAGCGCTGTACAATAGAGGGGGGGACAATACATGGCACAGTACAACAACAACAAACAACGTACGAGGGGTAAGAGGGCCCTACTCTTTCGAGCTTACAATCTAGGTGGGAGGGGGTAAAGGTACAGTAGGAAGTGGCTGAGGGGAATGAGGGGTGGGAGGAAAGAGGGAGAATGGCCGTTAGGTGAGGGTGGGGTAGGCTTCCCTGAAGAGATGGGTTTTGAGAGCGCCTGAATGTGAAGAGGGAAGGCGACAGTCTGATGGATTGGGGCAGTGAGTTCCAGAGGATGGGGGAGGACCTGGAGAAGTCCTGCAGTCGTGCATGGGAGGAGGAGACCAGGGAGCAGGATAGAAGGAGGAGCGAAGGGTACGGGTAGGGTGGTACTTGGGGATCAGGTTGGTGAGGTAGTCAGGGGCAGTGTTGTGAACGGCTTTGTAGGTCAGGGTTAGGAGTTTAAATTTGATGCGTTGGGCAATCGGGAGCCAGTGGAGGGAGAGGCAGAGGGGGGTGGCAGAGGTGGAGCGGGTGGTGAGGTGGATGAGTCTAGCCACTGAGTTCAGGATGGTCTGGAGCGGGGAGAGCCTGCACTGGGGTAGGCCAGTGAGAAGAGAAATTACAGTAGTCAAGGCGTGAGATGATGAGGGAGTGTACTAGAAGTTTGGTGGTGTCAAGGGTGAGGAAGGTAAGTATTTTGAGGTTTGGTGTTGACTCTCTAACCACACCGACCAAAGAGTCATCCACAAGCACCATCATAGTGAACACCGCTCCACCCCTAGTGACTTTTTGTTTCTGATCTGTAACAATGCTGAGAAACTAAACTTCTTTCCATATTCTGTGGATTAGTGTAAGGGTCCAAATGAACACTGAAAAACCGACTTCTTCTCCCAATCAGTCCAATGACATGGGGGTTCTCATTGGTACCTGCTGGTTGGGTCAGCTGGCTGCGTCTTCCTGTTTGGTGGAAACTACAGAAGAGGAAAACAGAAAAGTTCCATTAACTATGAAGAGGAATAAAGAGAAGCCATTTGGGTTGTATTTTCAGTCCTTATCTGAACTAAGTCCTGATGAGGACTCGGGTTACTGAAACTGGCAAAATGTCCTCTGCGCATGGATCCAGGTCATGTTTATTTGCTACAATTATGTGGCACCAAAATATTATGAAGCATTTTAAGTCCATGTGCTAGAATGAATAGACCATTGCTGTTAATACGTGTACACTCATTGCAAGACATGTATGAGCATGCATGTGAAAACATATTAGCGTGCATACTAGGCAGAGTGTGTGTAGGCGCATGTGCATGCTCAGCACTGGTATTGGCACCAAACAGCCTATTTACACTGCAGTGTGACATGGATGGATTGTTGAGTGGTCTTCAGCTAGTCCCTGATTTACCTATGTATGACCTGACCTACCTATGTATCACCTGACCTGCCTATGTATGATCTGACCTGCCTATGTATCACCTGACCTGCCTATGTATGACCTGACCTGCCTATGTATGACCTGACCTGCCTATGTATGACCTGACCTGTCCTATGTATGACCTGACCTGCCTATGTATGACCTGACCTGCCTATGTATGACCTGACCTGCCTATGTATGGCCTGACCTGCCTATGTATGACCTGACCTGCCTATGTACGACCTGACCTGCCTATGTATGACCTGACCTGCCTATGTATCACCTGACCTGCCTATGTATGGACCTGACCTGCCTATGTATGACCTGACTTGCCTTTGACCCGTCTTTGGATTCCTGTCTACATGTTGTGACCTTGACTTAGTGTTTGGACTCTGTATTCTGCTTCCTGATTTAGTAATGCACTGCCTGGCTGTGAGCTGACTGACCCTGCTTTGTACCCTGACTCTACCTCTGTCTAATATTCCTGTACCTCTACAACCCACTGTGAACTGGTTTGTATCCTGACTCTGCCTTGTCATAAGTTTAGGCCAAAATGTATCCTGCTCCTTGTGTTTGCTAAAAAATATCCCAATATGTGTACATTAATTGGTTTACGTGAAAGTTATAGCATCCACAAATGGCGGTATATATACGGGGATTTCTTTTTTTCTTTTTAATTTTTACTAGTAATGGCGGCGATCAGCGACTTATAGCGGGACTGCGACAAGCATTCTGACACTGGAGGGAACTGACTTGGTGTCACTGACATCCCCAGTGACACCAATAGTGATCACTACTAAAAAAAAAAAAAAAAAAAAAAGCACTGACACTGTACTAATGACACTGGGCAGGAAGGGGTTAACATGAGGGGCGATGAAAGGGTTAACTGTCTGCTGTGTGTGTCTTACTAGGGGGCAGGGGGGTGTGCTTCACTGTAATCACACTGCTTTGGATGGCTGTGCTGTGCAGTGTGCCCGAGCTGACAGTGAGGAGGACTGTTTGTAAACAAAAAAACAGTTCTCCTCCCCATCGGAGATCCTCAGCAATCACCGGGCGCCGGTGTGTAAACACTGGCCAGGACACGGTGATTGACAGCCACCCCCTACCCAGAAATGCAAAATCACGTAGCACCCCTGTAGCAGTATTTCTTTTATAGGTGGTCAGGAAGCGGTTACATGGAAATTGTTCCCTCTGCTATCGTACGAGAAAAATGTGGATATTGTCACATGGACTGTTGTGATCGACTGTTGAAAGCTGTGTACTAACTATCAGATTATGGTACAATCCCTCCGAAAGCGATTTTTGTCATCCCATTTTCTGATCGTGTGTACGGGGCATTAGCCTAACTGTAAATTTTGGGAACAGGCAAAACAAAGAGGGGTAGAACAGTTTCATGAAGATAAAGTCCCAGGTGGGATTTCAGCCAAGAATCCGGACCTCTGGGGCAAGAGCGTTACTTTTCTCTCTCTTGTTTTCTCATCTTTCCCTTGCTTTTACCTCTCTCTCATTTTCTCGATTGCTCACTCCTTTTCCTCTCTATTTTTCCATCCACAGCAGGCTTTTCCAACCCTTTTACTCCAGAGGAATCCTTAAGATATTTTTCAGGCCTCGGGGAACCCCAACTAATACCAATTCATCAGAGATCGGTGGGAAAAATGCCTTCTATATTGGTGGCTAGTGGGAAGAAATCCAACCCTTACGATTTTGGTCAGAAGTAGATAAAAAGATAATTGGTGCCATGCTACTGGATCTGCCAAGTGACATTTTCCCAAGAACAATGCAGGCACCATCAAATGGGAGGCCAATCAGCCACAGCTCTAGGAACCCCTGGACACCTATGGAGGAACCCTGGTTGAGAATGACTGATCTACAGTATTCGTTTATTCAGATGACTTCATGTCGTAAACTGATGAAAGCCATTGGCTGTCTATTTACCTGGAAGGGTTTTCTCTTCTTTGCTGCTCTTCTGCCTGTGTGAGAAATAAAATAAGTGAAAGGATGAAAGCAGAATTTAATTACATCATTGAATACATTTTCTCCTGCAGAGGTGAAAGCAGAGGCTGTAATAATACATTTGCCGGATAGGCCGCAGAGCTGATACCCGATGGGTTTCTGTTATTTGCGCCTATTGGAATTATTTGGTTCTGCCAGACATCTGGCGAGATTCACGATTTCCTGCTCTGGACCAATTCAGCATATTTTGAGGGCAAATACAATGGGCCACACTTTACAATTTTTCCAATAGCAATAAGTGAAGCTGTAGTCCTGAAGATGGGTTTGTCTCAGTTTTGTGAGGTCCCTTTATCATCCCAGCAAGTCAGCTCCATAAGGCATGGTTTGACCAGTTTGGTATGGAGGAACTCAAGTGTCCTGCACAGAGCCCTGACCTCAACCCTACTGAACACCTCTGAGAGGAATCAGAATACCAATTGTGAGCCAGGTCTTCCCATCCAACATCTGTACCTGATCTCAAAAATGGCCACAAAGTCTCACAGACACCCTCCAAAATCTTGTATAAAGTCTTCCCAGAGGAGTGGACGATGGTATAGCTGCAAAGGGAGGCCAACTCCATAATAATGGTCATGTTGGTGGGTAGGATGACAAGTCCATATTGATGCCCATGGGAAAGTGGACAGCTCAATATTAATGGCCATGGGAGAGGGAGCAAGTCTATATTAAAAGCCATGGGAGAGAGAGCAACTCCTTATTAATGGCCATGGGGAAGTGGACATCTCCATATTAATGGCCATTGGAGAGGTGGCAGCTCCATATTAATGGCCATTGAGGGAGGAGGCAGCTACATATTAATTGCCGTGGGAGAGGGGGCAAGTCTATATTAAAAGCCATGGGGGAGAGGGCAACTCCTTATTAATGGCCATGAGAAAGGGAAGCAAGTCTATATTAATGTCAATGGGGAAGTGGACATCTCCGTATTAATGGCCATTGGAGAGGGCAGCTCCATATTAAAGGCCATGAGGAGGGGGAATCCATATTATTGGCCATGGTTTTATTTGGGATGTCCATCAAGCTCCTATTGTGGTGATGGTCACACAAAACAATGGCTATATACACTGCACAGAAAAATGAAAGGAAGACTCTGAAAACCCATCCTCAATGGGGAGGAAAATCTCCTGCTGGATCTCTATACTGACATAGACGGATGATGTGTTAGAAACATAAGGGCGTCCCATCGTTTGATGGAAATTAAAATGATCGACCTACAGAGGACTGAATTCAAAAACACACCCGAAAATCAAAGTGAAAAAATAATGCAGCAGGGGAGTCCATTTTGCTGAATTATCATTGCAGCAACTCAGAATGGTCCTGAGTAGTCTGTGTGGCCCCCACGTGCTTGTATGCATGCCTGACAACGTCGGGGGAGGGTCCTAATGAGACCACGGATGGTGTCCTGGGGGATTTCTTCTCCCAGATCTGGACCAGGACATCACTGAGCTCCTGGACAGTCTGAGGTGTAAACTGGCGGCGTCAGATGGACTGAAACATGACATCCCAGAGGGGTTCTATTGGATTTAGGTCAGGTGAGCGTGGGGCCATTCAATGGTATCAATTCCTTCATCCTCCAGGAACCGCCTGCATACTCTCCCCACAATGTTAGGGCACGCTCCTAATGAGACGATGGATGGTGTCCTGGGGTATCATTTAATTTTTTTTGAGCAGTGTATAATATGTACTTTTTTCATGTTACCTGTTTTAATTGCATTCTTTAAATCTTTCAGTTTTTTTTGCTGCTTCTCCTTGGACCGTTCCCTTCCCATCGATATGATTTTTATCTGCCGTGGAGAAGAGGAATAAATCGCATGCGTGTTTCTGAAGGTCTTCTTGTGCTGTTTGAATTCTGGTTTTCTCCTTGTCACTGCTGTCCTCCAGATCGTCTATCACAACCACAACCTTTTTCCTACCTTTAAAGAAAGAAAAGAGTTTTCTTTATTCAGTTACACTTGGTGAGTTCTTTGGACCTTTTACCCGTCTACTAGAGAATGTTTTGCTACCAAACACATGATTTCCATGGCGAGTGAAGTTTAATGTAGAAAAATCTAAATATATGCACTTGAGGGCTAAAAACATGCCTTCATCTGGTGGAGTCAACGTTGGAGAAGGATCTGGATGTTCTGGTAGGCCAATGATGCCAAGTCATAGTTAAATCTTCCTATATTTATCTTCTAACCTTCAAACCGATCCAATTTCTTCACTAGTAAACCAGTAAAAGGAATATTTTAGACCTCTTCCTATTGTTGGGGGATGGGGCAAAGTCTAGAACTCACTTGGGATAAATATTTAAAATCTGCCAAGCCAGCCTATCCTCTGCTCTACCGTACATCCCGTACAGGCAAGCCGGAATACTGACAGGTCTGCAGAAGACCTGCATGGCACCAGCGATCTGCTGATGACTGGTGCAATGCTTTACAGGCTCCCAAAACAAATACGAAATGCACATTTTTTTAACTGCAAAAAAAGTGCATTTATTATTTTTTGGCAAAAAGTGAACGTATCCTTTAAATCTAATCCATAACACAAGACTCACCCAGCTTGTCATGGAGATGTCTCAGCTCCTCGTCGTACAGAGAGTCGGTGACGTTGGTGACATTTATCCTCCCCCGTTTCTTGGTGTGGTACAGGATGGCGAAGTCATGGCCGGGGGCCACTTTATAGAAGTCGTTAGCATTGTTGGATATGTAGACGGGATGGACGACCACCTTCGTGTGATGAAACATCCAGTTCTCCAGAAGATCTTGTAGCCATCGGTAGTTCTCCTCGCTGTCCCTGGAGCAGATCGCCAAAGAAATATTTCGACTCAACAGCTATAGAGACAAAAGTCAGATCCATTGTTTTATAACCCACCAGAGCAGAAATCTACCGGGAAGACAGAAGTTGCCCTTTACCCCACAGATACCCAAATCACACCTCGTTTTAGTCAGTGTGGGCGATGTTTGCTTCAATCTCATTGGAATCTGTTATCTCTATGAGGTGGAGGTTTAAAGAAATGACTGTCATCCATAGAAACTGAAAGTAAACGTGTTCTGTGTGAATGGAGCAAAATCGAATGTTCTCAGGCTGTATTCTCTGCAGATTGAATGTTAAGACTCATTCACACCAGCGTACTGATCCTCACACCCGTCAGACCCTCATTCACACCAGTGTACTGATCATCACACCCGTCAGACCTTCATTCACATCAGCAAACTGATCCTCACACCCGTCAGACCTTCATTCACATCAGCAAATTGATCCTCACACCCGTCAGACCTTTATTCACATCAGCAAACTGATCCTCACACCCGTCAGACCCTCATTCACACCAGTGTACTGATCCTCACACCCGTCAGACCCTCATTCACACCATCGTACTGATCCTCACACCCGTCAGACCCTCATTCACACCAGTGTACTGATCCTCACACCCGTCAGACCCTCATTCACACCAGTGTACTGATCCTCACACCCGTCAGACCCTCATTCACACCAGCGTACTGATCATCACACACATCACACCCCATTCACACCAGCATACTGATCCTCACACCCGTCAGACCCTCATTCACACCAGCAAACTGATCGCACCCATCAGACCCTCATTCACACCAGGTAACTGATCCTCACACCCGTCAGACCCTCATTCACACCAGTGTACTGATCCTCACACCCGTCAGACCCTCATTCACACCATCGTACTGATCCTAACACCCGCCAGACCCTCATTGACACCAGCGTGCTGATCCTCACACCCGTCAGACCCTCATTCACACCATCGTACTGATCCTAACACCCACCAGACCCTCATTCACACCAGTGTATTGATCCTCACACCCGTCAGACCCTCATTCACACCAGCGTACTGATCCTCACACCCGTCAGACCCTCATTCACACCATCGTACTGATCCTAACACCCACCAGACCCTCATTCACACCAGCGTACTGATCCTCACACCCGTCAAACCCCCATTCACACCATCTTACTGATCCTCACACCATCAGACCCTCATTCACACCAGTGTACTGATCCTCACCCTTCAGACCCTCATTCACACCAGTGTACTGATCCTCACACCCGCCAGACCCTCATTCACACCAGCGTACTGATCCTCACACCCATCAGACCCTCATTCACACCATCGTACTGATCCTCACACCCGTCAGACCCTCATTCACACCATCGTACTGATCCTCACACCCGTCAGACCCTCATTCACACCAACGTACTGATCCTCACACCCGTCAGACCCACATTCACACCAGCATACTGATCCTCACACCCGTCAGACCCACATTCACACCAGTGTACTGATCCTAACACCCGTCAGACCCACATTCACACCAGCGTACTGATCCTCACACCCATCAGACCCTCATTCACACCAGCGTACTGATCCTCACACCCATCAGACCCTCATTCACACCAGTGTACTGATCCTCACACCCGTCAGACCCTCATTCACACCAACGTACTGATCCTCACACCCGTCAGACCCTCATTCACACCAGTGTACTGATCCTCACACCCGTCAGACCCTCATTCACACCAACGTACTGATCCTCACACCCGTCAGACCCTCATTCACACCAGCGTACTGATCCTCACACCCGTCAGACCCTCATTCACACCAGTGTACTGATCCTCACACCCATCAGACCCTCATTCAGACCCAGTGTACTGATCCTCACACCCGTCAGACCCTCATTCAGACCATCGTACTGATCCTCACACCCGTCAGACCCTCATTCACACCATCGTGCTGATCCTCACACCCATCAGACCCTCATTCACACCATCGTGCTGATCCTCACACCCATTTTTCACACCCGTGTAGGATGTACAGGTGTCCCGGGAAGCCACATGCAGGCAATCTGGTCAGTTTAGTGACAGGCGGCTGGCTGTGCAGATTTGCACCGGGGGGGGGGGGGGGGGGGGGGATGCACAGACCAGAACGCCGTCTATGAGACATACATTACCATGGATGCGGCACGGCACACTTTATACAAGTGGCAGGCAGAACCACCAACAATGAGACAGACAGCGCCCCTACCAGGATGCATCCGTCTACTGCAGGCCATGTGTGGGATTCCCCCCCCCCAAATCATGGGCAACCAGGAGGTGACAGATTGTCGCCCTAGACACATGTCAAAAGCAATTCACTGCAGATCGCTGTTCAAAGCTGTCAAAAAGGCAGCTGCCAGTGTGAATGGGGGCTACACCAGGTGTGCTGCTATCTGGACACTGGGACTGCTGGGATTTGTAGTTCTGTATTGGCTGTGTGCTGCTCTCTGGTCACTGGGACTGCTGGGGACTTGTAGTTCTGTATTGCTGTGCTGCTCTATCTGGTCACTGGGACTTGGGACTTGTAGTTCTGTATTGCCTGTGTGCTGCTATCTGGTCACTGGGACTGCTGGGACTGTATTGCCTGCTGGGACTTGTAGTTCTGTATTGCTGTGTGCTGCTATCTGGTCACTGGGACTGCTGGGACTTGTAGTTCTGTATTGGCTGTGTGCTGCTATCTGGTACACTGGACTGCTGGGACTTGCTGTATTGGCTGTGCTTGTAGTTCTGTATTGTGTTCTGTATGTGCTGCTCTCTGGACACTGGGACTGCTGGGACTTGTTCTGTTTGCCTGTGTGCTGCTGTATTGGACCTGGGACTGCTTCTGTATTGGCTGTGCTGCTCTGGACACTGGGACTGCTGGGACTTGTAGTTCTGTATGTGCTGCTGGCTGGACACTGGGACTGCTGGGACTTGTAGTTCTGTATTGCACTGTGTGCTGCTATCTGGTGGGACTGCTGGGGACTTGTAGTTCTGTATTGGCTGTGTGCTGCTCTCTGGTCACTGGGACTGCTTGTAGTTTGTGTGCTGTTGTGTACTGTATGGGACTGTAGTTCTGTGCTGTGCTCTGGACACTGGGACTGCTGGGACTTGTAGTTCTGTATGTGCTGCTCTCTGGACACTGGGACTGCTGGGACTTGTAGTTCTGTATTGCTCTGTGCTGCTCTCTGTACACTAGGACTGCTGGGACTTGTTCTGTTCTGTATTGGCTGTGCTGCTGGGACTTGTAGTTCTGTACTGGACACTGGGACTGCTGGGACTTGTGCTAGTTCTGTATGTATTGGCTGCTGCTGCTCTGGGACTGGGACTTGTAGTTCTGCTGGCTCTGTACACTGGGACTGCTGGGACTTGTAGTTCTGTATTGCCTGTGTGCTGCTCTCTGTACACTAGGACTGCTGGGACTTGTAGTTCTGTATTGGCTGTGCTGCTCTGGACACTGGGACTGCTGGGACTTGTAGTTCTGTATGTGCTGCTCTCTGGACACTGGGACTGCTGGGACTTGTAGTACTGTATTGCTGCTGTGCTGCTCTCTGGACACTGGGACTGCTGGGTACATCTGCACATGTGCAATAATGGTGGAGCCCTGGGAAGGGGGGGGAGCCACCTGGGAGGCGGGCTCTGCGTTAAGCTGGACATACACTAATAGATTGTCGTTGTGATGAAAGTTCGATGAGTGGACGAATGTCGTGTGAATGTACTCCAAGCTTTCAGTTGCCCTTAGTATGTGATTGTGGAATGAAGGATATTCCGGGTACAGCCCACACACTGTGAGATTACTTCATTCTCGGAGAGTTCCCCTCCCCTACTCCCAGGAACAGTCCCACCATGGAGGGTCCAAGTGACCCCATTACTGTCGGAGATTGAAGGAACGTTCTTCAAATTATAAAACTTTGAAGGAAATTCTAGGCATGATGGGACTTGTAGTTTCGCAACAGCTGGAGGGTCGCCAGTTTGACACCCCTCTAGGTGATCAGCCTTCTTCCTTTATTACCGCCCCCCCAGTGATACGTACCCCACCCATCCCGCGATCCCCTCTCCTCCGTCACCCGCGCTCTCCTCCGTCACCCCGCGCTCTCCTCCTCTCTCCGGTTTGTTGTCTCCGGTCTCTATGGCGGTGATCCTGGTTCAGAGGACGGCGGCTGCAATACCACATCCACCATGACACCAGTAGGGGGCCCGCTGTGCGGATTAACCTCTTCATCTCCAGCAAGAGAGCGATTCCTCCATCCACACTACAAGCCGATCGATCGATCATCGCAACATCGCACAGCGACAGAACACGGGGACACCCAATCCACGGACACCAAAGATACAAAGCTGGGAATGTGACATTCACCCAACATTCTCCACACGGGAATCTCCCCAACCAGTCCATACATGAGCTTTATAGAACAGAGATTTGTCAGTAATGTCCAGAGAGCAGCACAGACAATACAGAACTACAAGTCCCAGCAGTCCCAGTGTCCAGAGAGCAGCACACACAGCCAATACAGAACTACAAGTCCCAGCAGTCCCAGTGTCCAGAGAGCACAGCACAGCCCAGCATACAGAAAGCTACAAGTCCCAGCAGTCCCAGTGTCCAGAGAGCAGCACAGGCAATATAGAACTACAAGTCCCAGCAGTCCCAGTGTCAGAGAGCAGCACAGCCAATACAGAACTACAAGTCCCAGCAGTCCCAGTGTCCAGAGAGCAGCACAGCCAATACAGAACTACAAGTCCCAGCAGTCCCAGTGTCCAGAGAGCAGCACAGGCAATACAGAACTACAAGTCCCAGCAGTCCCAGTGTCCAGAGAGCAGCACAGACAATACAGAACTACAAGTCCCAGCAGTCCCAGTGTCCAGAGAGCAGCACACACCAATACAGAACAAGTACAAGTCCCAGCAGTCCCAGTGTCCA